TCGAATTTTAACCACTGAATTTGTGGATGCGAATTTGGAAAGTGAAATAAAATGGACCGAAATTTGCCTGTTTTGCCTGTCGAATCGTATTTTTAAACAGATTGAATATTTTGGAAGTGAATTCTGGAAGGTGAATATGAATTACTGAATTTTTAATTATGAAAATGTTTGAGAAATATTTTTAATTGAAATATTCACAACTTAAATAAACAACTATGTTAAATTTCAAGACCTAAAAATGCAAGCCCTGGAAATACAAGGCATTAAAATGCAAGCACTGTTAATGCAATGCATTGTTTTTGCAGTTAGTGCAATTCAACATGCTTTTTTTGTTTCAAAGACATATGGCATTATTTTGCTTCCATACGCTCCACTCCTCGCTTACTGATATCAGAAACACCGCTCCGCGGCTAAAGTATTTCAGTATGTTTGAAATATCCAGTGTTGGGGGTAATATATTAAAAAGTAACGCAAGTTACGTAATCAGATTACTTTTTTCAAGTAACTAGTAAAGTAACGCATTACTTTTTAAATTTACAAGAGAATATCTGATGTCTTTGCTTCTGACCTTCGATGATCCAGTTCAACCATAATAATAAGCAAAAATGACTCTAGACAAACATTTGTGTGTCTTTTTTTATTGCTGAAGTGTGTTGAAATTTCTTCTTCTGCATTCTACTGGGATCGCTGCATTTCTTACAGATTTCTATTGAAATCAGATAGACCTACAGATGAAGTAGCACTGTAAGATTACATTTGTTTGAATGCATTATTGAGAGAGCGATTGCGTGTGAATAAGAGTAGTACCTGTTTAAATCATGCTTTCACCTGAAAATATTCCCAGACAGCACACATACAAAATTCCATCGGCACGATGTCCCTCAGGGAGCGTTTGCTAATCGGGAAGATGTCGCCGCGACGTCGGCCTCTGATCGCAAATGCTGCCCGGCCGATGTTGGGACGATGCAGCTGTAAATACCGGCTGCTCTGCGTGGGCGAGGTTCACCGGCGTTTTGCTCATCGTTACGGACCACCCGCGGCAGCCTCCGCTGGTTTATAATAAAACAATACACCACTCTCAATAACTGTCACACTGTGGACTGTTGATTGTGGTTTCTACCTCTGTGTCCATATTTGGTTATTCCTGTTCTCATTATTAGTTAATCACCTCATTGTGCTCACCTGTCTGCCCTCCTTATCTGCCCTATATCAGTTCCTGTGGATTGTGTTCTAGTTTGTCGGTTATTGTGAATTGTGCGCGTGCGTTCAACGTTATTAAAAGGTAAGTTAAACTCTTTTCAATCCATTTTGTATTGTTACGATGTTGGTAACATGTAAAAGAACAATGTTTATTCTTTCTCCGAGATACCCAGTTTATTTGTCAGTAAAACTGATGCAAAACAGCATTTTTTCATTTTGAACAGCCATTTACAGTTGCCGTCATCTGAAGTCTTTGTGAGTGTTGGCGTCATCTGAAGTCTAAACAAGTGAGGCTGGATCCAATCTGGAGCTGGCCTAATCTCTAGTAACTTTGGGATGGGCATCCTGAGATAGAAACAAGAAATCAAAAAGAGAAAGTTTAGCATAGCAGCTTTTCATATTATTTCAGACAAAGTATTATTTATGTCATCACATATAACTGGAGTGCATGCTATCAGATGTGTTGTGTGAATACTTGGCTAAAAATATGTATTTTAATCTAATTTTAAGCTAAAAAGAGTGTGTCTGAGCCCCAAACATTATCAAGAAGGCTATTTCAAAGTAAAATACCAAAAAGCTCTTTCCTTTAGTGGACTGTGATAAATCCTTGGTATTATCAATAGTCCAGAATTTTGTGACCTCATTACAGGCCAAGCACCATAGCTGCTGCTGCCCCATTTGTGCTTATTTTGCTATATTTATCGGATTTAATCACAAGGTGGTGTAATATGCGCACACCCAAAAACTTTAGGCAGGTGCTCAATCACATGAAACACTTCCCCTATCAATAAACCGAAATCGGCACACTGCCACTAATGCTCTCAAAAATCAATTTATTGATCAAGTGTTTCATGTGATCCCTTAGTAAATGTATTATTTGGAGAACAGGCAGTCTCTTTAGAATGGACTACACATGCCACCATATCATTTAAGTGGGTGGAACATCATAACTGCAATTTACACTACCGTTCAAAAGTTTGGGGTCAGTAAGATTTTTTTTACATCTTTTGCTCACCAAGGCTGCATTTATTTAGTCAAAATTAAGTAAAAACCGTAATATTGTGAAATGTTATTACAATTTAACACAACCGTTTTCTATGTGAATATATTGTGAAATGTAATTTATTTCTGTGATCAAAGCTAAATTTTCATTACTCCAGTCTTCAGTGTTCCATGATCCTTCAGAAATAATTCTGATATGCTGATTTGCTGCTCACGAAACATTTCTGATTATCAGTGTCTTATTATCAATTATCAAAAGTCAGAGCAAACATTTTTGTTCATCACTTTTTATTCATCAAAGAATCCTGAAAAATTAAGCAGCAAAGCTGTTTTCAACATTGATAATAATCAGAAATGTTTCTTGAGCAGCAAATCAGCATATTAGAATGCTTTCTGTAGGATGATGTGACACTGAAGACTGGCGTAATGATGCTGAAAATTCAGCTTTACCATCACCGGAATAAATTACTTCTCTAAATATATTCAAATATAAAACAGTTATTTTAAATTGTTTTCATTTCATACATTAAGCTGTGGTGGGCATAAGAGACTTTCAAAAACAAAAAATCATACCAACCCCAAACTTATGAAACAGTAGTGTATGCTTGAGATTTTACTTGCTAGTCCTACGGTTTGCCTTCAGTGTTCCATGATCCTTCAGAAATAATTCTGATATGCTGATTTGCTGCTCACGAAACATTTCTGATTATTATCAGTGTCTTATTATCAATTATCAAAAGTCAGAGCAAACATTTTTGTTCATCACTTTTTGTTCATCAAAGAATCCTGAAAAATTAAGCAGCAAAGCTGTTTTCAACATTGATAATAATCAGAAATGTTTCTTGAGCAGCAAATCAGCATATTAGAATGCTTTCTGTAGGATGATGTGACACTGAAGACTGGCGTAATGATGCTGAAAATTCAGCTTTACCATCACCGGAATAAATTACTTCTCTAAATATATTCAAATATAAAACAGTTATTTTAAATTGTTTTCATTTCATACATTAAGCTGTGGTGGGCATAAGAGACTTTCAAAAACAAAAAAATCATACCAACCCCAAACTTATGAAACAGTAGTGTATGCTTGAGATTTTACTTGCTAGTCCTACGGTTTATAGCATCTTTGAGAGCAGGCCATCAGCACTGAAGAATCTAGGTACAAAACAAGCAATTTGACACCGAGCCAACAATATTTCACGAGTTCGCACTAACATATAATGTGATTGAGCAATTAGTAGCATATTTGGCGTGCTGTCCAGAGGGAGGGCTCCGAGCTCGGGTTAAAGCCCGAACCCAGAGAACTCCCCAAAAGAAGCTAATGGCATGAGACCGCAGCCGGAGAGAAAATTGTAAGTAGCCCCCAAAAATATGCGTGCCGTGAAGAAAAGTAGGGTGTGCGAGGAGGCGGCAGGGCAACTGGGAAGGGTCGTGCGGTGCATGAACAGGAGCTGCGGCTCTTCGCGTCGGATGGCAAGCCCTACCTGTCGCCGAATGAGGAGCACGATACTGAATAAGCCTTGAAACTCGAAACAACAGATGGAGGGCAAGATCAAATTAAGCAGGGCACTGCAGCGGCAGTATCAAATTAAGCAGGGCACTGCAGCGGCAGTCTCAAATTGAGCAGGGCACTGCAGCGGCAGTCTCAAATTAAGCAGGGCACTGCAGCGGCAGTATGAAATGAGCAGGGCACTGCAGCGGCAGTATGAAATGAGCAGGGCACTGCGGCGGCAGTATCAAATGAATGGGAGCACTGCGGCGGCAGTATCAAATAAGCATGGCACTGCAGCGGCAGTATCAAATTTCATTGAACTCCGAGTTAGATGGGCTTTCTTTGTGTGAAAATTATTGGTCCTGATATAGCTCTTGAAGGTGTCCGATGACCATCGACCGAGAGCTTGGATCTGCTGCTGTGAGAGGCCTTTTTGAGCTGCTGTAGTTGCTGCCCCGATTTGGAAGGAGTGGCTGGAAAATCTTTCTACGGGTATGCCTGATTGGACGAGGGTGAGCTTTAGATGTTTTTGAAACCAAAAACATGTGACTGGGTGGTTACGGTCATCGACAAAAATTGGGTCAAGAGGGGGATGTAGACTGTGAGCTTCTGAATTGTAGGTAAGAAAAAAAGGGCCTGATACAGTTGGATTGGTGACGGGAGGTTGACAATGTCAACTTGGTGACCTCTTTTTCCTAATCTGATTTACTTTGATGAAATAGGAGTTAGTTTTGCTGTCCAGCACGGAAAGGTCTGAGAAAATTGGATGGAGCTTGGGGTCAAATATAAGTTGTTGTGAATTCCAAGCATCTCAGGAAACCAAAAAAAAAACCCAGTATGAACATTGCGTCGAGTGTACGAGCAGTATGATGTGAGTGGTACCCTGTGCGGAGATTGTGGATATATTTAGAAAGAATGTCTAAAGTTGTCAGTTGTGTAGCGTCCGGGCTTGGAGGATGAGAGCGCTGAATCCCTTTGATCAAAATAGATGGTTGAGAGTTGCTTATTTCAGGAGAGGGGGCGCCGTAGATTAATTTGTGAAAAAATAAATAAATTAGATGCCACTTAGATAACCTTTGATGGACCGGGCTTGGAGGTTCTTATGGTTTTAAGGTAGGAAACGAAAGATGTGATCGAGAGGAGGGAGGAATCAGGAAATGGCAGGTTGTACGAGAGGTGGAAAGCTTTAAAGCATCTCCAAGCAGTTAGATAAGATTGGATGGTTCTGGGTGAAACTGCTTGGAGGATCGAACCGAGTTACGCGTTGAGGAAAGGTTTTAAGGGATGTGTTATGGGAATACGAGTTGCAAATAGTGAGGGACTGGGGTTGGCGATGGGTCTGCCTCCGGAGCCAGCGCTCTGAATTTCTGCGAGAATCTAAGACTTGATGGTATTAGGCACAGGAGGCGGTTCCTGAGCTGCAGCATTCGGTGGGGTAGGTAGTGGGACTGCTGTGAAGGAAGTGTACTGAGGTTTAGATTGGAGAGAAGGGTTAGAAGAAAGATAAGGAGGGGCTGTAACCTTTTGCGGAGGCAGCCTCACGCACGGATTAGCCTCTGGTGCTTAGTGAAGCACGTAGAAGGAAATGAGGCAGGAGGCCAGTAAGCTTGCGTTGCTGGCTGATGATGCCCTGCTTGGATGTCTGCAGCAGGGGCTGCTGGACATTGATAGGGAAAGGGAGTAGCGGAAGGGTAAGAGTAAGGTGGCTGAGCGTGAATGGCTAGCGGAGGCAGCCTCACGCTAAGGTAGCCGGAGGTAGAAGGAAGGGAGTGGGAAGGATAGGAGTTTGGGTAGCCACGCCAGCGGTTGACGTTGCGTGCGGCAGTGTAGCTGAAGGCGCCACAGTGATTGGTTGAGAAGAGGAGTGAGGCAATGCAGTGTGGGGAGCAGCCGAGTCTGGGGCGCGGCCCAGGCTTGCTGATGGCCTGCTGCATCTTGAAGCTCGAGGGGAGCCAGAACTTGATCTGGAAGACAACGTCATTTTGAATGAAATAGGGAGCTATGAGGAAGAGGAGCATGGGCTGCAATTGTCAGCAGAGGCAGCCTGACGTTTAAATCGGCCTGTTATGGGAGCTGGAGGCCACTGAAAAGAAAAAAAGGGTCAGTAGAAACAGATGGAAAAGCCTGAGATGTGTGGGCTTGAGTTGCAAGCGTAATCAGCTTTGTGCTTGTTTCAGCTGCTGTAGGCCACTGGGAGGGAGTGGGGTTTGTGACATCCTGAAGAGCCTATGCAGCCTGCACAGCTTGCAGAGGCAGCCTCACGCTAGCGTGTGCTATGGGAGCTGGAGACCACTGAAAAGAAAGAGGTTAGAAGTGGCAGGAGAAATATGACGACTTTGACAACATTTAAAAAGTGATAAAATGACGAAAAGACATGCTTTTCCTCTTAACCACACAAAAAGTAGTAAGTATTGAAACAGCTAGCCAGCCAAGGAGCACATCAGCTGGTAGAGACTTGGAGAGAAGTGCCTAGCAGTATGCACAATGCATGCGAATTAGGTTGCTAGTTGCACTTGTTCAATAATAATAATAAGTTTCTTTATGATGCACCTATAATTGATTAATTTAGGTACACTGTTGAACTTTTT